TATTTTATTTTAATATATTAAAAAATACAACTAATTAACTATTAATAGAATTTATTTAAAATATATATTGCACTGATGATGACTTTACGTCGAAATAGATCTATATGCATAACTTTAATAATAATATAAAAAATAAACGATTATAAAAATGGGATCTTGCTTGATTAATTTTAACAATTAAAATCATAAACGATTATAAAATGGATTTCAACATTTTGAATAGACTTAATTGTAAAGAACTAGTTCAAAATATTAGAAAATCAACCATAAAACTTGTTAATGCTGAATCGTCGGTGGATTTTTTGAACAACTGTATAGAACTTGGTCTTCTTCCTAATATATATATATATATATATATATATATATATATATATATATATATATATATATATATATACTGCGTCTCTACTGTTGATTTCTTGTTTGTTCAAAGTGAATACATAACGCTCATCTAATTAGTTTTACAATCTTCAACTTCGTTTAATATAACACTTTTACGTGTTTTCATTATCGATGATTCCTCTGTTTCTAAATTCCATGAGTATTGATTCGGCTAATAGTAAATTATAATGGTTGGTATCGTAATGTAAGATTACAACATTGTGGTCCAAGATTTGTATAGTAAATTTAGTTTTGTGTTTCTCTTTCATGTGATTCTTTATAGCGCCATTTTGTACGGGCATCGTGAGTCTTCTCGATAACTTGGTCGTCGTCATACTGACTGCCAGACCAACGACGAACAAGTTATCGAGAAGAAAATGTTTTAATAATACGAAGTAGTTTATATCAACGGGGACATCTGACGATAGAAGCTATTTGCAAAACGCCCGCTGTACACAACCGATCTTTCAGGTAGTGAACTACGATTTTTTGTGAAAAAATAAAAAATGGTACATTTGTTTTTATTGGTTAAAAATATATAATTTAAAAGAATTATAAATAATAAACAAATTACTACTAAAAATTTAAAAATTTTTTTATCAAATTTCAATTTACAAAATTATTTGTTTCTTGTTAATGTTTAGGGAGATATTAATCACTTTTAGTCTACATTCTTTACTCTAGCAGACAATAGTAATGTTCGCGACGGTTTCGGCAACGGTGAAGCATATCTAACAGGTGGACCCAAAAATGTCAAATCGGCTGAACATTTTAAAATATAAATTTTCGTTTAATAAAATTATACTTAATAATTAAAAAATAATTTTTTACATAGACATTTACGTCTTATTATTCTAAAACAATACGTTTTGATACGATAGGGCATATTTGAAACAATACAATTCGATTCGTTATCGCAATTTTGTCTTATAATACGGTGCGAGACGAGACACTACGAGACACTATAAGAGATATTGATTCAAATTTTTACAGTTGGGACCTTTTAAACTTTTTAATAAAACAACTTTAGTTAGATTTCTGAGCAGAAAACACAAAACGGTATAGCATCATGTGCACGAATTGTATGTTAATTTTTGAGTTTTTGATAGTATGCATTTGAATCAAGACATTGCGCAATAACCCACATTTTTAATATGTATTCAAAAATTAGTTGAATGAAGCCTGCTTTAATTTCATTTATTTAGGCATGTGAAACTAAAAAAAAGCAATATGTAAAACTTTGTAGGTTAGTCTCCTCTCTTGCAAAAACCAACTCCCATTTGATTGTAGTGCAGATGTGAACATTTTTTGTTGAAGACTGAAAATGGCTAACGCGAGCGGTGTTTTTTTTATGAATAACACTTTATGGTATAAGTAGAGCGGTATTGCGTAAAATATTAATGCATTCAGTTTGAAGATGTATAAGTGACGCTTTCAACTCAATATTTGGGAGTGTGAACGCAACGGGAATCGATTTTGTTTTATATTATATTTTAGAAAATAAAATTGTCTATTAGAATATACAAATATTTTTAAAATGCACACATAAATGAATTTTTGGCGATTTTTTTAACTTTTTCGTTACCGGTGACGTAAATTTAAAAATGTATGGGTGACGCGTTCAATCCAATATTTAGGGGTGTGTACAAAACAAGAGACAGTTTTGTTTTATACGATATTTTAAAGAATAAAATTGTCTATTAGAATATACAAGTATTTTTAAAAATGCAAGCATAGATTTTTGATATTTTTTGAATCTTTTGTAACTTGTATTAAGTTATTTTCAATTTGATATAAATAAATAATCAAGCGCTAGATAATTCAAAATGGGCGGAGTCAATTTATTAAAAGTACATTGTGATTGTTTGTAAGCATGGACGATACCATAGGAGTACCTATCTCCCGTTTTACCTTTTTTCGGATTTTTCACAATCTGCCTTTTACATATACTTTGCCCGTTGCTGAGTTTGAACTATCGTGAACATTGCCTTCGTCTCTAGCGACGATTTTTATTTCTTTTCAATTTAATTAAATTAGTTTTTTTTATGTTATAGTAATCGTTTTTCAATCAGCTATTTTATCGGCATTTTTTTAAATTTTTTAACATTTTTCGTCGTCTGTCAAACTCATAATTTATATTTAATAATTTCTATGTGTAATTTGTGATGATAAATGAGTGATGATTCAAAATAAATAATAATACTAATAATAAATATAAATTATAATATACTCATTATTTTATTTTTAACGTCAAAATCAAATGATCTGATAAAGATTAACATTTAAAATAGATTAGACATAGAGATAGATAAGCTGATAATCTTGATTATCTTTAGTTTAGTATTAGATGAAAATAAGCCTATATTTATAATATATAAATACTGATCATGTTGTTTGAATTTGATTTATTTTATTAATGAATTAGAAACTTGAAGAACAAGTAAATATGTTACATAACTTTATGTTTCTTTTTATAATTAGTGGTTGCAAGTAATGGTTCATTAAATATAATAGACATAATTATTGTATTTAAAATTTTGGCTAAAATTGTGAAGATCTAACATAAATATGTATATTATAAATAATTTATTAAATGTTGAAATGAAACATATATGCGTGAGTTTGAATTGTATAAATTAAAAAACAGTTAAACTAACAGACACTAAAAAATTTTTAAATAAAAAAACATTCATTGTACAACTAATGTATATAAATAACACTAAATATTATATTATAAATAAGTCTATTTTATCATAAAACAAAATTAATGATATCTAAAACTTAGAATTTAAATTCTTTGCTAATGAAAGCAGTTTATGTTTAGACTTTAATTTTCAACAATTAAGTTGGCTAAATATATACATATATGGTTTAGAGGTATAAAGTATGAATAGAAGAGGGCCAAGGATAGATCCTTGAGGTACTCCAAAAGTGAGAGTAGAGGAGTTAGAAGTAGTATTAGTAACAATTGGAGAAAAACATTTACAGAGATAAGAAGAAAACCAAGATAGACAGACAAGAATCAATAACATTAAAAGAGTCATATCCATATACTTAAAATATATCACATATCACTAGCTCAGAATAAATATTTATTTATTAGTTTCTAAAATTAATATTTTGTTTTCCATATGTAACCCTTTTTTCTATTTGCTTTTCTCCATTTTATAATATTGGTTTGTGATTCTGATTTTAAAATTAAAAATATTCATTACTTTCCATTCAGTATATTTCTGCGATACTCGGTTTTTAGGTCAATAATTGGTGGGAATTTCCAAATAGTTAACAGTAAGATTGATGATGGCGAACAGATCGTGGTTACCCTACAGCATCTCTGGGGAGATAGTAAGAGGTTTTGGAAGAGGAAGCAATGAGCTGGGTTTTCCAACAGGTTAATTAAATATTATTTTGAATACTTTACTATAATTAGAATCTGACTAATTGGCTGAGTGGCTTTGTTATGATGACAGAGTGGCTTTATTAGCTGATTGGTATATCACAATGAAATAGTCGAGAGATGGCTTTGAAGTTTGGGAATTTTATGTTGGCTGATTGTAAATATTATGTTAGCTGATGGTGTGTTGTGGATATTATGTTGGCTGATTGGGATGATATATATGGTGGCTGATTGTTGGAATATTATTTGACTAATATGGCGGCTGATTGGGAATATTATTATAATATTGTTATATCTGTCCCGGTCGACGACGTACGAGTTTATTTTATCCCAGTGAAAAATAGTGACACGAAATAACTTTCAAACTATCGTTTTGTTTACAAATCAATAATCAATCTTAACCAAGTGACCATTAGTTAAACTAAAAATTATTGTTAACAAAAAAAAAACAAATCAAACAAAAAATCTAAATCTATGACTTTAAAGGATAAGAATCGTATATCAGTATCAGAAATTTGTATAAGCGCTTTCTGGTGGGCACATTGCTGAAATAATGATGCTTCAACATTCTCTTGAATCAAGGCCTTACAGTAATAGAACCATTCTTCAGCTGTACAGGAAGTGAGTTCCAAACTTCGGCCGCAACCACTACCAATCTTTGCTTTCTAAAATTTGTCAATCTGAATACCGTATTGGCCAGATCCCCATGGTCTGATGACCTCAAATGACTGCGTCCTTGAACCCCTGACACCGGCATCAGCTGTTCACTCAGATAAAGCAGACCCTCGCCATTTAGGCAATCTCTGACCAACAGTGCAATTTTGAATTTAACTCTAACCGTAGCCAATGTAAATCATCCTGCATTTATTTTGAGATGGAGTGAAATTTTGATACGCCGGCCACCATTCTTGCTGCAGCGTTTAACACCGGTTGAACGCAGTCCTGTAGGAACAAGTTAACTCCATATATTATTATTGAGTTTGAGTAATCAATTCTACTATAGACAAAACTGAACAAGTGTTTTTGTCGACTCCATTGAGAGGAAACGTCTGATAGTTCTAATTCGATAAAGTTGATAAAAACATTTCCTGCATATATTTTTTACATGGGCCTCTATCGACAAACAAAAGTCCAGCACAACTCCAAGATCATTTACTGGCATCTTAAATTCGTTGACGAGGGCCAGTTTTTGTTCTTTTTTGGAATAGAGCTCATGCTTATTCAATGTCTCTAATCTCCACCGAGTCAAATCAGAACCATTTCTTGTCCGGTAGTACATTCTTTCCAACTTTCGGACACTTTGCTTAATTTTTTTAACAGTCATCATCAACCCAGGGTGCCGATTTCGATCGAACCTAAACTTCACGTTGTGGTGCAAATCTATTCAAAAGATCACAAAAAACATGATCATACATGTCGAAGAGTTCTTCAATGTTGCAAGCACTAAATATTTTGTAGTCGATAAGATCACTTGTTGAAAGTGCTTCTTTAAGTTGTTCTATGTTGGCATTGCGAACACTTTTGTTGATTTGACATGTCGGTTGACAGATTTCACTGTCCAGCGAACCATAGATTAAACTGAGATCTGATATGGTTGGCGGATCTACGGTGATGTTGTAAACTTTTAAATCAAACCTGTTGATGATAACGTCAAGCCATCCATCTTTTACATGAGTTGGCGTTTTGACATGCTGAAAGTAACCAAACGTCGATAGGAGACTGGTTAGTTGTATGGCGTGTGAGTTTGTTTTATTTTCTAGATGTATGTTGATATCGCCCATAATGATGACCTGTCCTTCAAACTTTGTAAGTTTTTCCAAAAGCTGACGAAATTCATTAAAGAAAGCTGGTATTATTTGTGATCAACCAGGTCCATACATAGCAATCCAAGTTATTTTGTTAGAGCGATATAGATGAGAGATGACACATAGGTATTCCAAAGTTTTGGGCCAAAAACTCCTTTCGCCCAACCTTTGTTGGGCGAAAGGAGTTTCTTATGATGATGACAACTCTCCGCCACCAGGATGACAAATTGGCCGTTTGAATTCTCCAGTTTCTAATATTTCCCTGGCTGTATCAAAAAAGCAATACCCATGTGACACTGCTTGTTTTAAAAATACATCTTCAGAGGACACATGCCGACTTTCAACGATTGCCAGAACATCTAACTTTTTCTGTATAATCGAATCAGCAACATGTAGATATTTCCGTGAAAGGCTGTTAACATTCAAGCTGCCGATTTTCAACTTTTTCACTTTGTTCTTTTGATTTGTACCTTGTATTTAGCGTTTTGTACATATATGATATTTAAACAAAGTCTTTCGTACATTTCTTTCCAGCTTGTAAGTTCCTTTCAGCGCATACATTTCCGTAGCAGAGTAAACAATAGGCATTCTCAATAACATAAACGTATGTTGCTGTTCTAATGTCCAACAATTAAATTCTTAAAACCAGTTTAAAAACAGATGAAAACCAATTCTTAGGAATTGAAAAAAGGTATAATTATAATCGAAAACAACGAACGTAATCAACGTCAATTATAATTATCCACACGAGCAAAAATCAGATGAATCAACAAACGACGCCACCAATAAATATTGATTACATATATTATACATATAATACGCTCTCTACTGGAATGAGAGAAGTAGTGACTTTACGCATCTATTGTATTTGACGATAGAGAAACTCAAGTGGTAATTCGAGCTTTTCAAAATTACGGGCCCTAGACATTTGTCTATTGGCCCTGCGCACATCGACTACGCTCTGTTGTAACAAGTTCAAAATACTGCAGAAATAGCGATTGATTAATTGATAAATTATCTATTTATTTAATATTTAATTATTTGAATATAATGAACCATTATTTTATCGATCATATAATGAATTATAAAGCGAACTATCCTTCGAGTGTTGTTGATGCACTTCCTGACTCTTTTGAATGTGGAATATATTATGGCTGGGCAAAAGTAAATGAATATCCGGTATATCCAATGGTTCTAAGTCTGGGATACAATCCATTTTACAATAATACTAAGAAAACTATGGTCTGTTTTTTTTTTAAATTTTTGTTAAATGTTTTGTGAATATTGAAAAATATTTAAGCATATTCTACGTTTTTGTCCCGAAACCAGGAAATACACATATTACATAATTTCAGCAACGACCTATATGGCAGTCATATGACTGTTGTGATGATTGGCTTTTTGAGGGAAGAAAAAAGCTTCAAATCAACTGGTGATGTTTCAATTTTTTTTTAATTATACAAAAAATTTTCAACGTTTATATTATTGTGCAATAATTAATTGTAATGTGTTGTAATGGTCAACAAATATATCATGCTTTTGTTTCTACTATGTAGAGGATCTGATAGATGCAATTGAACAGGATATCGCAATCGCCAAAGAAATGTTACAGAAAGCAGAGTGCTTGCGCTTGAAAGAAAGTTTTTCATATGATTTATAATAGTAAACGTATGATTAAATTCTATTATGTTTCATTTCTGGTTTTTCATGTTGGGCCAAGTAATATGGGTAAAAATATTCAAATGTTCAATCGCAAGTAATAAGTAGCCTTATTTCATGCTTTTGGTACAATTTTATTGATATTTTAAATCAATTTTGTTATTGTATAGTATTGGTATGGGCGTATTGACTTTTAGTTTGAGCTCATATTGTTCATATTGTTCATATTGTTCATATTGTTCGTTATTTCATCGTTAAAGGAATAGCTTAGAAATATTACATCTTGAATTTATTTGGGTTTTTTTTTGTAATTTTCAAGTTTTGAGTCGAGTCTTTGTGAAGTTCCTATTTTAACTTCAATCTTTCTTATGTCATCGTTAGAATTACTTATTGAATTAGTTAGTCATAGGAACTGAATAACTATTTTAACATAACGTTGGCCTAGAAGTATTGCTGCTCTTAGTGGCGCTCCGGACGAACAAGTCGTAATCTTCATTTTATTAAAATTTGTGTATGCTCAAATTTTTTGTGTTATGAAAAACAATCTTATAAACAATAAGAAAATTAATTTCACATGTAACATTATACAATAACAATATAGTCATTACAAAAAGTCTACTAATTTTAATTTACTAAATGTTCTTTGGATTGATGTAATTGATTGGTTATAGTTGTCAAAATTTGAAGTGCAATTCTTAAATTAGGAAAAACTACAGTTATGAACGATCAAAGGCCGTTGAATCAAAATTGGTTTCAAATAATTTAATAGCACATAAACGTGATGTATTAATGACCCTTTAACAGCACATATGCCAACTTCCTTAGCAGAAAATATGCTAGCAGCATATATGCTGATTATCTTACTATCAATCAATCTTCGTTTAGCGTCCAGAGACCCCGATATAGAGGCAAGGAGTTGCCATTTATTCCAGGCTACACGTATGCGTGGTCGAACGGCAGCTTCAGCTGTTCCAGTACAATCTAGAACATCCCCTAGATATTGAAACGATGTGACTTTTTCTACCTTAATGGCTTCAAAAACATTGCTATTTTGAATTTGTTGTTGTGAATTGATGCATGCAGGACAAACTAAATTGGACACTTTAGATAAAGTAATAATTATTTTTGTGACACCACTGGTTACACTGCTGACACTTGATTGAATTGTTACCTACATCAGCTTAACAAACTGAACAAGGCCATCGTCCAGTAGCTGTGGATTGGATGGGTTCACCAGTGTTCATTGCTTTGGTTTTGCTGATGTTGACTTTGAATCCATGATCGGCGAGTCTGGTGTTCCAAACATCTGTGCTGCTGTTAAAACGATATCATCAGCATATATTAGATTCCAAATGTCACCAGTGCGTATCGGTTTTGTGATTTCTTCCATCACAGTTATAAATAACAGTGGACTGAGAATCGAGCCTTGGTGAACTCCAACGCCGATGTCAAATGCAACTGTGTTTCCAACCGTTTTGCTGACAAGAGTCTTAGTATTCGTATACATTTCCATCACAAGTCGAACAAGATATTCTGGAATGAGTTGTCGACGTAGACTCCACGGGATTGCTTCACGGGGAACTCGGTCAAATGCTTTTTCAAGGTCTACAAAAATGTGTGATAGTTGTTGATGCTTTGCGAGGTACTTCTCTTGCAGTGGCCGAAGGATGCGAATTGTATCAATTATTGATTTCCCCGCTAGGAAACCCAATTGATAATTTCCGATTGTGATGCACGACGTTAATCTTTTCGACAATTTTCAGGGAGTGTTCTAACAGACGTATACTTCGATATAATGAACAGTTCAGTGGATCACCTTTGCCTATGTATAGCGGAACTGTCATGCTATAGTTTCATTCAGTCGGCATTGAGCAATTTCTCCACACTTCACGGCAAAGTTGTAGTTACGTTTGGATACCTGCAGTACCAGATGCTTTGATAATGTCATTTGTGAGTCCAGAATGCCCTGCTGCTTTTCCATCCTTCACAGCTTTCAGAGCTTCTGTAAGCTCCTCTACAGTGATGTCTGGAATCGGACCTTCGATGGGTGAATCGTCAAAGTTGACATAGATGGGATTTGTTTCATTTAACAGACGGTAGAATACATTTTTGAATAGTTTTCAGTGTTGTTGCTTGACAGCGAATAAATCAATTTGCGTGGCTGATGGTCCACTTTTGTATGTTATGAGATGTTCCAACCTCTTTCTAAAATATGTGTTCAGTAAACAAAACCCGTGACTTTCAGCAAACTCAAGAATGCGGTTGCCATCTTCATTCCGTTCTCCATAGCCAAAACCGCAATGTACGTTGTCAAAAACATTTGTTTTCTCCAACGTGGCCATTGAGATCGCCTCCAATAAAGATTGTTTTAGATTTTGGTATTGTTGAGATGGTGTCAGAGAACGCAGCCCAGAAGTCATTTTTCATCTCTTCTGATTCGCCTGTCTGTGGTGCATATGCAGAAAAAATAATCATTGTTTGCTTTTCTATGCGAAGCTTGATCCACATGAGACGTGAATTAATCTTTTTAATGTCCAGTACTTTTTGGGATAGCGGTTCTCTGACAAAAATTCTAACACCATTTTTGGCCGTCTTTTGACCATTCCAGAATAGTTTATAGTTTTCTTTGTCTGAGTTGACATGACAAACACCATTCGATTTCCATCGTGTTTCCTGAAGGCAGCAGATGTCAATCCTTCTACGCACGAGCATTTCTGCGACTTCCATGCTGTGGCCAGTCAGTGATCCAACATTGAGCGTTCCAAGTCTAAGTACCATAGAGGGGCCGTTCTGAATTTTTCTGCAACATCCCTCCGTTATTGCATACTTCCCAGGGATTTTTGGCACTCCTTGACCACTTAAGGCCTGCTGGGGTCTAGGGGCCGTTGTTTTTCTTTGTGATGGCATAAGAGTTATTTGGAGAAAAGTTTTTACATCCGGACACCCATCCTGACGACAACCACCAGTTATAAGAGGTGGGCCTAGCCTTTTGCTCAAAAGCACGCAAGGCAGCGTGGATGCAGTTTTATGTCATGCCCAGGACTAAATAATAAAAACAAAACAGGGTGATTGATAAGATCACCAGCATTTGATGAGATATTCATTTTAATATACACATATAAGCTATCATTTACATTTGTTATTGAATATCATTGTATTTTCTGTAATATCGAGTTTATACTTACACTTTTAAATACTTCTAGTATTGTCAATTCTATCACATTTATATCAATTGTTTAAAGTTGTTTGCAAAATTTTTACCCACTCCAGTCCACATTTTTCTCTAAATTTCTATATAAACAACCTTTTGCATTTGTATATGCACCATCAATAGTTTGCATAAATAGTTGATCAACAATGTGAAGTATGCAGTGATATTTTTAACTGTATACATATACATTTTTAGCTGTATATATATATATATATATATATATATATAATTCAGACAAAATTTCTTACTTGACACCATAGCTTCTAACAATCGGATCTACACCAAAAGCGCTGGATCTTGAAAACCGATTAGATCTGTTGAAAGAGCTCCTCTCCATTAAACTGGGAGTATTTCTATTACTGCCACCCCTATAATTATTATAACCACCCCTTCTATAGTTGCCACTATTTCGGTTACCCATATTTCTTGAACTGTTGCTACTCTTGTTCTTAGAGAAGCTGCTATCATTGCCAGAATCACAACAACATTTCATACTCTAAGAATAAGCACAATAACATTAATCGGATTCGCCAGCAATTAAACAATGATGATGATCATAACAATAATAATAACAACGTCATCAACAACAACAGCAATGATAATAATAATTATAATAACAACGTCATCAACAACAACAGCAATGATAATAATAATTATAATAATAAATTGGACTAATTTGGCGCCTCAAAATTTTGACGCTGTTGTTGCCATCTTGACAACTATCGTTCAAATTTTAAATTTTTTAAGTTTTTCGTTGCTAAAATTTTTCGTTAGATTTTATGTTCCTTTTTCGAATTTATAATTTAATTTTAAATCAATAAAAATGATGCAATGACGATGACGCTTTAGCGTCTAAATAGATCTATTTGGAATAATTTTAATAAAATGTTTCTTCATAAAAATAGAGTTTTCAATTTTTAACAAACTCAATTTCATTGATAAAATTTTTTTAAGACAAATTGAACAATTTGAATACAGGTTGATAAAATAATTTATTACATACTGTCAAGAATTTGATTTACTACAGCATTTATTCTCTCTCTCTCTCTCTCTTTCTATATATATATATATATATATATATATATATATATATACAGCGCTTGTAGCGTTCGATCCGTCAAGTAAGACTGAAACTAAAGTTTCGCTGCTTCTGATATAACAAATTGTTTCTCCAAACGGTCCAGTATATTCTTTCTCTCTCTCTCTCTCTCTCTCTCTCTCTCTATATATATATATATATATATATTTGTGAATCGACTTGAATCCCCAAGTACGTGAGTTTATAAAGAATGAGAATTTCCGACTTGCTCTCGCAAGTACGGTCGGCCAGTACGAGTACATAAAGTACACCATCTCTCACATCGACCAAAGGTGGTGGTAGCAGTACGTCTCTATCGACTGAAAGTGTTCCGGGAATTACTTTAAAAAACACCTTAGTTTGCAATGTTGTTTACCAAGATAATACTCGAATAAGTTAGTGTTTAAACTCGGGCAAGTGATGAAACGAAACACGTCTAGCATAAAACGAGTTGGGTGTTCACAGGAACGCACCTTTGATCGTGGTGAACGCACCTTTGATCGTACTTTACGTACTCGTACTGGCCGATCGTACTTGCTAGAGCAAGTCGGAAATTTCCACCCCATATATATATATATATATATATATATATATATATATATGTTGGTAATAGACCATAATTTTTACAATATTCTATAAATTCTACCGAATGTTTGG